AGGAACAAGTGTAATTTATAAACTGTCATTTTTAGTATTGTCATAATATTGTTGTATATTTTTATTATCATTACATCCATGAAAAAAACTCGACATTCAACATCGATAAAGTGTGCCCACCCTGACAAAAAATTCTAGCTCCGCCCCTGTGTTGGGGGCGGGGGGTGAAGGTAAAGTGATTTTTGATTTTTTTTTATATTTAATTACCACTCATTTGTAACTTTTTTGAAAAATTTAGGATTATGATTACAATTAGTTCTTAATTTTTTTTTCTTCTCTTTTTGTTTTATTTAAATAAGATAGCATTTTCATCATTTCAAGTATTTTTATTGAGAAAAAGGAATGAAAATGATGAATTCTGTAATAAAATGTAAAAATAGGAGTGGAAATGTAAAAAGATAAAACGTGGGGAAGCTTCGCACAATGAACTCCAAACGTAATGATGTTTTGTGCTAATAACCCTATTCACTAATAAGTTTTTGAGCCACATATCATTTAAAATGAGGTTGATATACCTAAAATATCATTTCTAAGAAAAATATGAAAATTTATATGTTTAGTTGCAATTTAATTTGTCCCATTTAATAATAAATTATCTAGACTTTGTGGATACAAATTTTGAATATACATATTAAAGGAAATTTAAACCTAAAATTTGTTGAAGAATTTGTTAGTAAATGATTTAGCCCTTGTTTTAGCTCCATCTTGAATAATGATTTTCGAAGATTGTTTGGTTAAAAATGAATAACTAGTTTTCAATTTATCTGTAATATTATTTTATTGGGAAATGTGTAGTTGAAAATGAGTTTTGAAAAAAATGAATTTTTGATAAAATGGGGCTCAAACAAGGCCTTAAGTTATTTAAATTAATTATTTATAATTTATAAATATTTAAAAATTAACAAATTCATACTTATAAAAAAAATAAATCATATTTATAAATTTATGCACTAAGTAAAGCAAGCATATACTTTTTATAATTCAAGTAAAATTTAGTTAAAATATCGTATATGTTAGTTCCTTAAACGATTGTACACTTTCAAATTTATAATTAAATGATGGTCATGTTATATAATAGCATACTAACAATATTTAAAAATAATACCATAATATCCATTTTGGTCATTATACGACAAAAAATGTTTGACAGTCCGTAAAATTCTGTCTTTTTTTTTTTTTTGTCTTGTTATTTTTCTCTGAACAAATATTGTGAAAAATTTAGAGGAAGCATTAACTTGTCCAGAGGTACTCCAAAAATGTCCGGTCCTAAACATCTAAATTGGTTTAATATAAGTAGATGCGCATATTAAGATTTGAGGTTCCATCTTAAAAGGTCTACCTTATTAAGAGGAGTAGCCCAAGATCTTTATTAATTGGTCCGTGTCAACATCATTTATCGATATGGAATATATATCCCTTAACACGCCCCCGCAAGATGGTGGCTCATTTGAGCAGACCAATCTTGAAATCCACGTGCTCATTTTAGAGTTTTAACGGCATCGAATCGCTCATTGGAGCATAATGGGCTCTGATACCATATTAAGATTTGGGGTTCNTGGGATTATATCCCTTAACACGCCCCCGCAAGATGGTGGCTCATTTGAGCAGACCAATCTTGAAATCCACGTGCTCACTTTTTGGAGTCTTACCGGGATCGAATCGCTCGTTGGAGCATAATGGGCTCTGATACCATATTAAGATTTGGGGTTCCATCTTAAAAGGTCAACCTTATTAAGAGGAGTAGCCCAAGATCTTTATTAATTGGTCCGTGTCAACATCATTTATCGATGTGGGATATATATCCCTTAACAGCGCACGCGATGCCTTGTTTTACATAGAAAATTGTTTCTTAGATTGCAAAATTATTTCAATTAGCTAATCAATTTCATATGTTTGGAAATGAAAAAACAAGACTTCAATTCATCTCAACAAGAAAGTCATATGATTTATCGAAAAATGTGTGATTAATTAAAATGTACAAAATAACATAGACTGTGAATTGATCACTTTGGACTCAACAAAATAAATTGTTATATGAACACAAGAAGGGGAAAAAACAATGCAATTCTTGAATCATAATTAATTTAATTAGAATATGTCAAATACAAAAATATTATACACTCTATATATGAAATTGTGTATAATTTTTTTTTTTTTAATGTATAAATTATGGGTCAGCAGTGGCACCAGTTGTTGAACCAATTCCTACTTTAAGCCATTGGGATGAACTTCCACTTAGGTTCATGTCCTTTAGGTCACTCAATTTTGCTAACCTCAACCTACTGTCTGCTTCATCATCAACATAGTGAGTTACAATATTGCTATTATTGTTGTTCCCGTCAACTGGGGATGGGGACCCGTTATTCTTATTGTTGTTATCATCTTCGTTTATTTGATGACATTGGTGAAGATGGCTATCGATATTTTTGGCAACGCCGGTGTTTATCCATGGATGTAGGTGTATATCGGTCGAGACCTCGAAGCTCAATGGGTTATGCGGGTCCCGTTTTAAACCCGACATCTCGTCAGCCCATGCTGGAAGGTTAAGATCAAGGGCCTGGTCAGAGTTCTTGATTTCGGGTTTGTAGTGATTGATGGGCTCAACATGATGGAATTGGAGTTTTGTTGTGTCTGCAGGTGTATTTGAAGTGATCCAATGGCACCTTTTGTGTCCACCCAATGCTTGACCAGAGGAAAAAACCCTGTGACAAATAGTGCATTCATGTACTTTTGATTTCCTTCTTGCAGCACCTACTAATGCAGTAGAGCCTTTTTCAAATGGCAAATTAGGGGAATTATATGGTGATTTGGATGCAGGGAAATATTCGTCATGTGTGATCACATCATCATAAGCTAAACTATCATCAAGCTGATGATCATGATCTTGTTTGGCTGCATAACACCCTTTAACCTTCTTGTGACTTGCCCTATGTCCCCCTAATGCTTGATGAGAATTGAACACTTTTTTGCATGCTTTGCATTCGAACATGCCTTTAGAATTATTGGATGATACCCGTTTAGCCTTGTCCAAGGGAGTTGATGTTCGAGGTGAGAAAAAGTTGGCCATTGCATTCCGTCGTTCC